CTCCTGCCTCAGCCTCCTGAGTAGCTGGGATTACAGGCATGCACCACCACGCCCAGCTAATTTTTTGTGGTTTTAGTAGAGATGGGGTTTCACCATGTTGACCAGGATGGTCTCGATCTCTTGACCTTGTGATCCACCCGCCTCGGCCTCCCAAAGTGCTGGGATTACAGGCTTGAGCCACTGCGCCCAGCCCATGATACTGTAGCTTTCATCTTGCTTTCCTGAAGCACTTGCTGTGGGGAAAACAAGCTATTATGTGTGAGAACATGTCTGAGAGGTCCATGTGAGAAACCGAGGCTTCCTGCATGAAGGAGCCGTCTTAGAATCCTATCCTTCAGCCTCAGTCAAGCCTTCAGATGACTGAGCTGCTGCTGAAAACTTAACTGCAATTTCATGAGAAACTCTCTTCCAGAACTTTTCGGCTAAACCACTGCCAAATTCTGGACTCACAGGATCTGCATGAGAGAAATGTTCACTGTTTTAAGTTGCTAAATTTTAGAATAATTTGTTATACAATAGGTAATTAACACAAGGGGTCAGCCTGGTGTCCATGGGATCCATGAGTATTTACTTGTACACCAACACCAGAAGCAGCTGACCTTATGGAATAGTGAGATGGTCTTTTAAACACTCACTTATGGCACAATTTTAAGCTACTCTGTAAGTTCGGGGTGCTGGTTTGTTTTTTTTTGAGTCGGAGTCTTGCTCTGTCTCCAGGCTGGAGTGCAGTGGGACCTCGGCTCACTGCAACCTCCACCTCCCAGGTTCAAGCAATTCTCCTGCCTCAGCCTACTGAGTAGCTGGGACTACAAGCACGTGCCACCACTCGCGGCTGTTTGTATTTCACCGTGTTTGAAATGTGAAACATTTCATGGCCAGGATGGTCTCGATCTCTTGACCTTGTAATCCACCTGCCTCAGCCTCCCAAAGTGCTGGGATTACAGGCATGAGTCACCACACCCAGCGTTAGTGCTATTTTAAGGAAATGGTATAAGATTCATACCAGTGGGCAATATATCCTGAACTTTTTCTCAACCAGGAATTTATAGGGCAAGGAAACTAGGGGTACAAGTGGACATGTCTTCCCCTAATACCTAATGAGAAACTAGAACCATCTTATACATTATACGCAGGACTATAAGGAAGCCAAATCTATCAGACGTGAACGTTTTGGGTTACTACATCAGATTAAAAAATAACCTGGGATAGCTGAGACATTGGCTAAAGACAAGGAACAGGAATTAGATTGTGGACAAGTGGCTACCTGCAGAAATAAAGATTACAGTATTTGTTTATATTTTCCTCCTTTTATCTTCCTCCTCTATCTCTCTCTCTCTCTATATATATATATATAGAGAGAGAGAGAGACAGAGAGAGACAGAGAGAGAGAGAGAATATATATATATATATATTCTTTGAGATGGAGTCTTGCCCTGTCACCCAGGCTGGAATGCAATGGCACTATCTCAGCTCACTGAAACCTCTGCCTCCTGGGTTCAACTGATTCTGCCTCAGCCTCCCCAGTAGCTGGGATTGCAGGCACGCACCACCACACCCAGCTAATTTTTTTATCTTTAGTAGAGAAAAGGTTTCACCATGTTGGCCAGGTTGATCTCAAAGTCCTGACCTCATGATTTGCCCGACTTGGCCTCACAAAGTGCTGGACTTACAGGGATGACCCACCGCGCCTGGCCTCTTTTCTCCATATTTTACATACACAGGATGTGTAGTTATTTTATTGGTTAGCTTTCAGGTTGGATTCTGAAGTTTCAGACTGTCAGGATGAGATCACGATTGGAGTAGGGGGGATCCTTTTATGGATCTTGATGTAGTAACTGATGGGACTTTGCATTGTTTCCCTATTGTGGGAAGGATGGCTGCACTATGTTAGGCCAGATTGTTTCTTTGGGGTAAATTGGTAAGAGGGGTATGCATTAATGTGCTATTGAAGGGATGGATTTTAGTGAGCATTTATCATGGTTTTTGGCTTCTGAATTACTGCACCTCTTTCCAAATCTTAGGTACTCTGGTGCTTCATAACTATTTGGAAAATATCTTACTTCCTGTAAAACAGGAACCCCAGAATAACTGATTTCCCAGAATCTCTTGCAGCAAAGATGTGGGCATGTGACTGTCCATCAGATACCCCGACTCAGCCTTTGGCCCAAGGAAGAGAAGACCAAGAAGAACTTTTTCAGGCAGTGGCAGCCACTGCAGCAAGATGGATTCCTGGGGCAGCAGTGGCAGCAATGTGACTGGTGTCACCCCATGTCTAGTGATAACTGTGTCAAAGCTATGAACGGCAACATTTATGCTTGGAGGCTGCAGCAGCGTTGGTATTATTTGGGCCACTGTGGCTGCTGTGTGGTCTTCTGAGCCTGGGTCTCCAGCTGTCCAGTGTTTTTGAAAGGTATCTATTATCATTTTCATGAAATCCTTTTCTGCTTTACTCAGCAAGAGTTGGTTTTTGTTATATGCAACTCAGAACTGTGTGTGAGGCCAGAATGCAACCCGTCATTAGAAAATGACTTGAACTATGAACTGGACAGCCATCAGTACTTTCTCCAGCCCTTCTTCTCTCTGTGTGTTTACATTTTTTTGCTCTTATCCATAGGTTTTGCTTATCAAACTACACGTCAGCCAAAAGCGAGTTGCACCCTTCTGGGTTTACATGTTACAGGCCAAGTCCTAGTGAAAATGATCTGTGGCCCTCAGTCCCAGTTTCAGTTGCCCTAGTCCAATCATGAATTCTCACTGGGGAGAAGGTGATCAGAGTGTAAAGTGGACTGCTGGAGTCCATATCCCTGAGTGTCTATGGATTAGGGGGCCATTTTCAGAAAAGGCTGACCCAATATGAGCTGGGAAGACATCCCCAAAGGAAGTCTACTTTAGGAACATGGAGTTTCTCAGTCATGACATGCTGTGCATCTCCTGAAATATTCTCCCATTACAAAAAGGGTATCCTTTACACCAAACGCTTTAAGAGATTAAACACAAGCCTGGTGCGGTGGCTCATGCCTGTAATCCCAGCACTGTGAGTAGCTGAGGCGGGCAAATTACCTGATGTCAGGAGTTCAAGTACAGCCTGACCAACATAGTGAAATCCTGACTCTACTAAAAATACAAAAATTAGCTAGGTGTGGTGGTGCCTACCTGAAGTCCTCCCTACTTCAGAGGCTGAGGTGGGAGAATTGCTTGAATCCAGGAGGCGGAGGTTGCAGTGTGCTGAGATCAGCCTGGGTCACAGAGTGAGACTTCACCTCAAAAAAAAAAAAAAAAGAAAGAAAAGAAAAAAAAAGCACAACTCTGCAATGCCACCTTTACCCCTGACCCCACCCCAGCCTCTGCATCCCTATCTGCAAACGCTTCATTAAGTCAATGCAATAAATGACTATATATGTGAAAAAAAGGAGAGGTTCAGATAACACTGCTATAATCTCAGCTTCTGAGCTACGAATTTAAGAATAATAATCATTTGATAACCAACTTTTCAAACCTATAAACATATGCCCAGATCAGCAAGGTGATGCAATTTGAGGTCTTAGTGAATTTTCTTTGGGACTTGTCTCCAAGATTGCTTTATCTCCTAGTTCTGACCCAGGAGTGAGAAAATGTACCTTTCCATTATTGTTGGGTCCACAGGGACCAAGAAATAGATGGGAAAATTAATCTCTGCTTGATTCTAATGAGACTCCCAGAGAGTCTAATCCCAATGGCCATGGAAGCTACTGTAAATACCTGTCTGTGATTCTCGCAAACATCCATCCTGCACAGAGGTTAAGGCCATGAACATATATATATTACTGAATGGAGTTCTTTGAGAAACTCCCTTTTCTAAACATGCCACATCCAGGGAGAAATAGTAAGAGTCCTGAACCATCAGCTGGAATTTGACATAGACACAGTGATTTTGCCTTTCTATGAGTGACTAAGAGGTGAGAGAAAGCCTGGAAATGTTAATAGAAACCTATATAATAGCAGAGGAGGGCTGTGTATGAGTCTGCATGTTGTTTTAATAGTATATTTTAAAACACTGAAAGAATGAGTATACAAGGACCCACATCATCTAGGGCTGGACATCGGAAGTTGGGGGTGTAGGGACTGGGGTGGATCTTGACTGAGCAACTCTAATACAGGTTTGTTAACATGACCATGGTTGGAGCTTGACTTGTTGCATCTATAGCCTCAGCTTCTATATTTCTGATCTCTGTCTTGTCTGGAATCAGACCCATGAGCGGGACAAACAAGTCAAGTGTCTCAGAGTTCTTCCTCCTGGGACTCTCCAGGCAGTCCCAGCAGCAGCGTCTCCTCTTCGTGCTCTTCCTGAGCATGCTCTTCCTGGCCATGGTCCTGGGAAACCTGCTCATCATCCTAGCTGTCAACACAGACTCCTGCCTGCACACCCCCATGTACTTCTTCCTCAGCAACCTGTCCTTTGTGGACATCTGCTTCTCCACCACTGTCCCCAAGATGCTGACCAATCACATACTTGGGACTCAGACCATCTCCTCCTCTGGCTGTCTCACACAGATGTATTTCGTCATTGAGCTTGCTGACATGGATAATTTTCTCCTGGCTGTGATGGCCTATGATCGCTTTGTTACTGTGTGCCACCCCTTACATTACACAGCAAAGATGACCCATCAGCTCTGTGCCCTGCTAGCTGCCGGATCGTGGGTCGTTGCCAACCTGAATTATCTGCTGCACACCCTGCTGATGGCTCAACTCTCTTTCTGTGCAGTCAACACCATTCCCCACATCTTCTGCGATGTGACTCCCCTCCTGAAACTCTCCTGCTCAGATGATTCTTACTGAGGCTGCCCTGGTCATAATCGCCCCATTTCTTTGCGTCCTGGCTTCCTATATACACAACATGTGTGTCGTCCTGAAGGTCCCATCCACAAAGGGACAATGGAAAGCCTTCTCCACCTGTGGCTCCCACCTGGCTGTGATTCTCTTTTATGGCACCATCGTCTTTGTATTTCAACCCTTCATCCTCCTACTCAGCTCAGAGAGATATAGCAGCTGCTGTGATGTTCACACTGGTGACTCCCATGCTGAAACTTTTTATCTACAGCATGAGGAACAAGGACATAAAAGGTGCTCTTGGAAAGGTGGTTCCGTTGAAATTTTTTTTCTGTTCAGTAGTGATATGGGCTAAGATATTCCTAGGAGGAGCTCATTACTGAGATAATCCTATTATTTCTACTGTGTGAAACAGCATTTTTGTTTGTTTATTTTGAGGTGGAGTCTGACTCTGTCACCCAGAGTGGAGTGCAGTGGTGCAATCTTGGCTCACTGCAACCTCCATCTCTTGGATTCAAATGATTCTTCTGCCTCAGCCTCCTGAGTACTTGAGAATACAGTCGTGTGCCACCACACCCAACTAATTTTTTTGGTATTTTTAGGAGAGATGTGGTTTCACCATATTGTTCAGGCTGGTCTCAAACTCTTGACCTCAAATGATCCACCCACCTAGGCCTCCCAAAGTGATAGGATTACAGGTGTGAGCCACCGTGCCCAGACAGCGTTTTGTTTTGTTTTTTTTTCTAAGATGGGGTTTCACCATGATGGCCAGGCTGGTCATGAACTCCTGACCTCAGGTGATCCACCCACCTCAGCCTCCCGAAGTGCTAGGATTACAGGCATAAGAGTGTTTGTTTTTATAAGAGAAACATCTGGTATCTATTTTGGGAGAACAAATCCTTGATATGGACTCTTCAGGTTAAAGATGGAAAGAGAGACCCTTTAATTAAATGACCCAACAATTCCAATTGTCAGTGCCCTCCTGCCAAAACCTAGCAGGAACACACTTTTAGATGAAGAAATTAGATGTACTACTCATTATAACAAGGGAGAACACACACCATCAGGCATAGTGAGGTGTCTCAATAGACGAGTTTTTTAAGGACAATTGTTTATGTGATGTTGGGGAGTAATTAGGAAGGAGCCTGTAGTCTGGAGTAGATGCCATTAAAGAATAGGAATAATTCTTTTTTTTTTTTTTTGAGACGGAGTTTCGCTCTTGTTACCCAGGCTGGAGTGCAATGGCACCATCTCGGCTCACCGCAACCTCCGCCTCCTGGGTTCAGGCAATTCTCCTGCCTCAGCCTCCTGAGTAGCTGGGATTACAGGCACGCACCACCATGCCCAGCTAATTTTTTGTAGTTTTAGTAGAGACGGGGTTTCACCATGTTTACCAGGATGGTCTCGATCTCTTGACCTCGTGATCCACCCGCCTCGGCCTCCCAAAGTGCTGGGATTACAGGCTTGAGCCACCGCGCCCGGCCAGGAATAATTCTTAATAGGTATCTTAATATATTTTATCTAGAAGGAAAGAAGAGGCCAAAGCTGTGATTGCCAAAGAAACAGCAGTCACTCATATCAGCCAACATAGGGGGATGTTTGGTTATTTTTGTGGCTATGACAACGTGCATGTTTTTGTGTTGAGACATCATTACAGAATGGTCTTGCTTTGTTTTACTCTAGCACAGTCAGACTGGCCTTATCTGATGTTCTGTGAAATTCTCTATGTTCACCAGGAGAACACAAAAACCTTGCTGTGAGGGCCAGGCCAGCTCCTATTAGGGATGTTTATTCTTTCTCACAACAGAGACCTTGATATGAACACATCTGATGGAAAGATCAGACCTTTGTTGGGGCAGGGAGGAGACAATTTATTTTGTGTTCCAGAAAGCCCTAATTCTGCCACTCATTTGAGCTAATTATTTTTATTTTCTTATCTGAGCTTTATGTATCACACATTACAGCAGAAATATGGGTAAGTTAAACAAGAAAAATATCTTCCACAGTCTCAAATGTCCAGCCATATCAATCAACTACATCTACTTTTTTACTCTCTGTTCTGTGACAATACACACAGAAATTTTTATTTTCATTTTATTTTATTTTTTATTTATTTTTTTGAGACAGAGTTTCGCTCTTGTTACCCAGGCTGGAGTGCAATGGGTACGATCTCGGCTCACTGCAACCTCCGCCTCCTGGGTTCAAGCAATTCTCCTGCTTCAGCCTCCCAAGCAGCTGGGACTACAGGTGCACGCCACCATGCCCAGCTAATTTTTGTATTTTTAGTAGAGACGGGGTTTCACCTTGCTGACCAGGATGGTCTCGATCTCTTGACCTTGTGATCCACCCGCCTCAGCCTCCCAAAGTGCTGGGATTATAGGCGTGAGCCACCGTGCCCAGCCCTATTTTTATTTTTTTTAAAGGAGAAGAGGAGCAGATTACAGCAATTTTTATTTAGATATTAATTTATATCCTGGTTTTTCATCTTCCATTTTATAAAAAAACTTTTCCAAATCACCAGAGTCTACACAATTTTATCTTAATACTTGGTCTCCATCAGGTTCTCTAGCAAAAGGTACTTACTAATAATTCTGTTTCTAAATTAAAACATAAAGAAAATTTACTATTTAAGAGCATGATTTGAATTTTATTTGTAGGCCGGGCACCATGGCTCATGCCTGTAATCCCAGCACTTTGGGAGGCCAAGGTGTGTGGATCACCTGAGGTCAGGAGTTTGAGATCAGCCTGGCCAACATGGAGAAACCCCTTCTCTACTAAAAATACAAAAATTGGCTGGGCATGGTGGTGGGTGCCTGTAATCCCAGCTACTTGGGAGCCTGAGGCAGGAGAATTGCTTGACCCTGGGAGGCGGAGGTAGCAGTGACCCAAGATCACGCCACTGCACTCCAGCCTGAGCAACAGAGGGAGACTCTAAGAAAAAAAAAAAAAATCAAAAGAAAAAGAAAAGAAAGTGAGGCCGGGCGCGGTGGCTCACGCCTGTAATCCCAGCACTTTGGGAGGCCGAGGCGGGTGGATCACGAGGTCAAGAGATCAAGACCATCCTGGTCAACATGGTGAAACCCTGTCTCTACTAAAACTACGAAAATTAGCTGGGCATGGTGGCGCGTGCCTGTAATCCCAGCTACTCAGGAGGCTGAGGCAGGAGAATTGCCTGAACCCAGGAGGCGGAGGTTGCGGTGAGCCGAGATCGCGCCATTGCACTCCAGTCTGGGTAACAGGAGCGAAACTCCGTCTCAAAAAAAAAAAATAAAAATAAAAAATAAAATAAAGAAAGTGATTGCAGAAAATTAAAAAACTGACAAATTATGAAACTGATTATTTTTTCCTTGTCTTGGACATTCAACATTTTTGCTATGATGCATTTATTTTGGGTCTCTTTTTGTTTATCTTACTTGAAGTTTACTAAAAGCTTCCTGTTTGTATAGATATGTTTTAATAAATTTGGGAAATTTTTATCCATTATTTTTCCAAAATTTTTTCCTTTCCTTTCTCTCCTCTCCTTCTGGTACTCCCATTATGTGTATTTGGTGCACCTACTGATGTCCATATTTCTTTGAAGTTATGTTCACTTGTCTTTTTTTTTTTTTGAGACAGATTCTTGCTCTGTCACCCAGGCTGGATCTCCACTCACTGCAACCTCTACCTCCTGGGTTCAAGAAATTCTCCTGCCTCAGCCTCTCAAGTAGCTGGGACTACAGGTACCCTCACCCTGCCATGCTGGAGTAAACCTCTCATTTACTCTGATTTTTTTTTTTTTTTTTTTTTTTTAAAGAGACAAGCCCAGTGCTTTGGAAGGCCAAGGAGGAGAATCACTTCAGCCAGGAGTTTGAGGCCATGATGGGCAACATAGCAAAACCCCATTTCTACAAAAAGAAAAATAAATTGGCTGAGTGAAGTGGCCTGTACCTGTAGTCCCAGATACTTGGGAGGCTGAGGTGGAAGGATCTCTTGAGCCCAGGAGTTCAGTGTTGTAGTGAGCTATGGTCATATACTACAGTCTAGGTGATAAAGTGAGACCCTGTTTCTAAAAAAAAAAAAAGGCCAGGCGCAATGGCTCATGCTTGTAATCCCAACACTTTGGGAGGCCGAGGTGAACAGACCACAAGGTCAAGAGACCAAGACCATCCTGGCCAATACGGTGAAGCCCTATCGCTACTAAAAATACAAAAGTTAGCTGGGCATAGTGGCACGTGCCTGTAGTCCCAGCTACTTGGGAGGCTGAGGCAGGAGAATCACTTGAACCCAGGAGGGAGAGGTTGCAGTGACCTGAGATTGCACCACTGCACTCCAGCCTGGCAACAGAGCAAAACACCGTCTTAAAAAAAAAAAAAAAGGAGAGAGAGAGAGACAGAAATTAGGTCTTGCTAAGTTGTCCAGGCTGGCCTCTAACTCTCAGATTCAAGGAATCCTCCCACCTCAGTTTCCCAGAGTAGCTGGGACTACAGGAACATGCCAGCATGCCCAGTCTTGATACTATAGCCCAGGCTGGAGTGCAGAGGCACAATCTTGGCTCACCGTAACCTCCACCTCCCAGGTTTAAGCAATCTTCCTTTCTTAGTCTCCTGAGTAGCTGGAACTACAGACACATGCCACCATGCTCAGCTAATTTTTGTATTTTTAGTAGAGATGGGGTTTCATCATGTTGGCCAGGCTGGTCTTGAACTCCTGACCTCAGGTGATCCACCTGCCTTGGCCTCCCAAAGTGCTGGGATTTTAAGTAGATGAGCACTGCCTACATTTAAAAAAACAAAAAGCTATTCAGAAGGCTGAGGCAGGAGGATCACTTGAGCCTAGGAGGCAAGAGGTTTCAGTGAGCCAAGATCCCCCAACTCCAGCCTTGGTGACAAGAGCCAGTCTAGGTTTAAAAAAACAAAACAGGGCCGGGCGCGGTGGCTCAAGCCTGTAATCCCAGCACTTTGGGAGGCCGAGGCGGGTGGATCACGAGGTCAAGAGATCGAGACCATCCTGGTCAACATGGTGAAACCCCGTCTCTACTAAAACTACAAAAAATTAGCTGGGCATGGTGACGCGTGCCTGTAGTCCCAGCTACTCAGGAGGCTGAGGCAGGAGAATTGCTTGAACCCAGGAGGCGGAGGTTGCGGTGAGCTGAGATCGCGCCATTGCACTCCAGCCTGGGTAACAAGAGCGAAACTCCGTCTCAAAAAAAAAAAAACAAAACAAAAAGTGCCTCGGTGACTACACCATGGCTGCATGAGGACTGATAAAACACCCGACTCTTGGGCAGGGGTGCCAAAGAATGAGTGGAAACTCTCTTTACTCACTGCCTTGCAGCTACGTGTTTTCTGGGTACACAAGGGGTCCCCGGCACATGGTAACAGCCTGGCGACTCCAGAAACACAGCTCAGGACCCCAGTCCTAGTGCAATGGCCACACTTTCAAATAAGCAAATAATGTTGTGGGCAGCCAGTTTTGTTAGCTTTGCTGACTTTACAGGGTATTTACTGTTGGCTTGAAATATAAAGCCAGTAAAGGACAGTTTTTGTGGCCTTCCACTGTCATGGAGGGTGTTACTGTTTTTTTGAGATGGAGTTTCACTCTTGTTGCCCAGGCTAGAGTGCAACGGTGCAATCTCGGCTCACTGCAACCTCCGCCTCCCAGGTTCAAGCAATTCTCCTGCCTCAGCCTCCCAAATAGCTGCGCCCACCACCACACACAGCTAATTTTTAATTTTTTTTTAGTAGAGACAGGGTTTTGCCATGTTGGTCCGGCTGGTCTCTAACTCCTGAGTTCAGGTGATCCACCTACCTCAGCCTCCCAAAGTGCTGAGATTACAGGCATTAGCCACTGTGCCCAGCCTGTTGTTTTTAAATTATGATTCAGGACTGAACTGTATCATAAAATGTCCTTCAGAATGCTTTGTACGAAAACAACAAACCTCAGAATTACATGTCAATAACAAACAAAACAAAAAAAATGATAGGCAGAAGGCAAGAAGCAAAACTATTATTTGTTAATGGTGTCATTTTACCAAAAGTTGTAACAGAGCTAAACCAAGAAACTACTGAAAATTAAGAACATTCAGTGAGGTGACTAGCTACACAACTATATAATTAAAAATAACTTTCCTATGTAACAACAATAATCAACTATAGAAATATAATGAAAAAAACTACTTACAGTAATAAAATTTTGTAAAACCTTCAGTGAAGAAAATTAGAAAAATTTTCACAGGAATATAACATTCTCATAAATACAAAGGCATGTTTCTGGATGGAAACAAACACTATAATTTTTCCCAAATAGTTTATAGGATTTCTTCATTCCAATCAAAGTACCAATGTGAAACTTTTGGAAACCTTAAGTAAGTAAAACTGGTCAAGAATCCCTAAATTGCACCACTGGCCTTGCTTCTAGGCAGAGAGGACAGGAAGGTCTGGATATGAAGAGACTGAAGACAATGAATACCCACTATAATGAAGACACCTGGATTCCTGTCTCTTGAGGGGCAATGTGAGCTAACCACTGGAGACTTAATTTCTAAATATACAACACTTTGGGCCAGGTGCAGTGGCTCACACGTGTAATCCCAGCACTTTGGGAGGCTGAGGTGGATCACCTGAGGTCGGGAGTTCGAGACCAGCCTCACCAACATGAAGAAAACCTGTTTCTATTAAAAAACACAAAATTGGGCTGGGCGCGGTGGCTCACGCCTGTAATCCCAGCACTTTGGGAGGCCGAGGCGGGCGGATCACAAGGTTAAGAGATCGAGACCATCCTGGTCAACACGGTGAAACCCCGTCTCTACTAAAAATACAAAAAATCAGGTGGGCATGGTGGCATGTGCCTGTAATCCCAGCTACTCAGGAGGCTGAGGCAGGAGAATTGCCTGAACCCAGGAGGCGGAGGTCGTGGTGAGCCGAGACCGCGCCATTGCACTCCAGCCTGGGTAACGAGAGTGAAACTCCGTCTCAAAAAAAAACAAAACAAACAAACAAAAAAAAACACAAAATTAGCTGGGCATGGTGGCACATGCCTGTAATCCCAGCTACTTGTAAGGCTGAAGCCTATTGCTCAAATCCGGGAGGCGGAGGCTGCAGTGAGCCGAAATCAGGCCATTGTACTCCAGCCTGGGCAACAACAGTGAAACTCCTTCTCTCTTTTTTTTGCCCATCACCTACAACAATCATCTTAGAACATGAAACTCCATCTCAAAAACACACACACACACACACACACACACACACACACACACACACAAACACTTTGCCTTGTGAGGTAGTGACCACCCCATCACCAAAGGTCTAATGATGGTGTAGAGGGGACCTTAAGGTTATTGATGAGACATGGATCTAAGCCAACTTTTCCCGCCTCCAGGTTGACCCCTCCTCTATGAGTACTGGCGTTTCCTTCCTAGCACATGAGATCTGGGCTCAAGAGAGGAACAAGATTCTGAAGAGCTTTTCTAGCGGTGGGACTGGATGGCCCTGCCTGAGTAATACCAACTTATTTTGGCAAGGGAGAGGCATGAAACAGCTGTTGGAGATATCAACAGCTGAACAAAATAGAGTAAAAAGAGTAGACACTTATGTTGTAAAAAGGAATCTGTAAAAGTCAATTTTATCACAAATTGCAAATGTTATTGAAATTGATTGCAAGTTTAGATCACATCCAACTGAGAGTCTGACATTCAATTGCTGTAGTTTTCCTATATTCCAAAGTAAACAATTCAACACTCAAGGCTTAAACAAGTGTTCTTAGAGGGTTATATGAATTGCTATTAGAAGCTGTTGGCTCAATAAGCCAGTAGTTTGGTTCTTTCATGAGAACATAGTTCCAGATAAGAACCTCTGCACTATTTCTCAAGTACGAATCCCCATGTAGGGGGAAAATGGATATACTTACAATAGACATGAGTCACTCTGTCTTGCAAGTAAGCAGCCTCCAGATTCATCTTCAAAGTCTTTCTTGGGAAAGGGATCTGTGACCTGTACATTGCCATATAATTTCATAAAGGAAAGCTCCTTAGTCCAGAAAGCGTGGATGCTGAGGTATAGCCTTTGAATATGTTTCCTTCCCTGTGAATTTTCTAACAATTTGAGGTTTTAGCCAAGACAGGCATTTATCCAATTTTGGCTATAATGAGCTTTTCACATATTGTTATTTTTTCTTTGAGATGGAGTCTAGCTGGTTCACCCAGGCTGGAGTGCAGTGGTGTGATTTTGGCTCACTGCAACCTCTGCCTCCTGGATTCAAACGATTATCCTGCCTCAGCCTCCTGAGTAGCTAGGATTACAGGTGCATGCCAACACACCCAGCTAATTTTCGTATTTTTAGTAGAGACATGATTTCAACTTGTTGGTCAGGCTGGTCTCAAATTCCTAACTTTGTAATTCACCCATCTCGGCCTCCCAAAGTGCTGGGATTACAGGTGTGAGCCACAGAGCCCCGCCTACATATTTGTATCTTTTTAGGCAGCTTGGGAATTCAGAATTCATTATGAAAGCTCTTAGGTTGAGGAAGCACCATCAAACCTTTCCCAATATTACTTCTGCTTTTGGGTCTTACAGGCTGAGTGGATTTTCTCATGCCGGGTACAGTTTGACAGCCGACCAAATCTTCTCCCACATTTTTTGCAACCATATGGTCTCTCAGCCTCATGACTCTGCAGATGAAGCAAAAATTCCTCATTCTTTGGGAAGGTTTTCCCACATTCTGGACACTTAAATATCTTCTCCCTTATATGGATTCCTTCGTGACGACTCCGATGAGAATTCTGACGAAAATTTTTCCCACAATGAGAACAGGAATAAGGTTTCTCTCCTGTATGAATCCGTTCATGTTTATTGAGATTTGTTTTATGATTGAAGCTTTTCCCACAGTGACTACAGTCATAGGGTTTTTCTCCAGTGTGAGTCCTCTGGTGGGAAATAAGATAAGAACTTTCATTAAACTGTTTCCCACACAGTGGACAAGTGTACCATCTCCTTGTCCTCCGATTTCGAGTAAGTGCAATAATACTGACATCTACATATTTTGAGAGTTCCTCTAAGGGAGTATCATTCTCAATGGTAACTAACAGATTTCTCATTTTCCTTTTCTGTTGAATGAATGTATTTAGTCTTTCCTTTTCCTGGTTATCTAGAGGCTGCTGAGAGACCAATGAAGAATCCATTTCATCATCATCTGAAGACTTTGCTCTATAATCTTCATTTTCTATAGATTCCTTCTCAGAATCTTCACCTTCAGGATTACTGCCATTGACTATTGAAACAAAGAAAAAATTTAGTAACTTCTGAGGGATATGACAACACCAGGCATGAAAAAACAAATCAGGTTTCTCATGACATAGCCATCTTGAAAGTCAATCTAAGGAGTGGCGGATACTGCTGTCACACTCCTTTTCCACACTTATTTCCATTTACCACAATGCAAGCACACATTAAATAAGTAAAATGAGTGTGATTTCACTTAAAGACTTCATATGTTTGCTCTCTTCACAGGTGCTAATTACCTGACAAGTTCATATTAATCTCATACTCTGTAGAGCACTCAGCTAAGAACTAGGGATGAAGACCATAAATCTATAAAGGGCACCACTCGTCATATTGAAGAGTCTGGTAACTGAAGGTTAAGATGAACTGCTTGTAGGTTTTGACTATATTAGAAATTATGGGCCGGGCGCGGTGGCTCAAGCCTGTAACCCCAGCACTTTGGGAGGCCGAGGCGGGTGGATCACAAGGTCAAGAGATCAAGACCATCCTGGTCAACATGGTGAAACCCCGTCTCTACTAAAACTACAAAAAATTAGCTGGGCATGGTGGTGCGTGCCTGTAGTCCCAGCTACTCAGGAGGCTGAGGCAGGAGAATTGCCTGAACCCAGGAGGGGGAGGTTGCGGTGAGCCGAGATCGCGCCATTGCACTCCAGCCTGGGTAACAAGAGCGAAACTCCGTCTCAAAGAGAAAAAAAAAAAAAAAAAAAAGAAATTATGATATCACACACTGGGGTCTGTTAGAGGGTGGGGGGCTGGGGGAGGGACAGCAGCAGATGGAGAGACTGAGGATGGATAACATTAGGATAAATACCTAATGTAGGTGATGGGAGGATGGAGGCAGGAAGCCACTATGTCATATGTATACTTATGTAACAATCCTGCAAGATCTGCACGTGTACTCCAGAACTTAAAGTATAATAAAATTTTTAAAAAGGCCAGGGGCAGTGGTGCATGCCTGTAGCCCCAGCTACTTGGGAGGCTGATGTGGGAGGATCGCCTGAGCCCAGGAGTTCTGGGCTGTAGTGTGCTATGCTGATCAGGTGTCCGCACTAATTTTGGGATCAATATGGTGACCTCCCGGGAGCAGGGGACCACCAGGTTGCCTAAGGAGGGGAGAACCGGCCTAGGCTGGAAACAGAGCAGGTTGAAACTCCTGTGCCAATCAGTAGTGGGATCATGCCTGTTAAGATCCACTGCACCCCAGCTGGGGGCAACATAGCGAGACCCTATCTCTAAGAAAAGAAAGAAAGAAAGAAAAAAACACTAAAAAAAAAAAATAAAAAAAGAAATTATCACAATATTATAGCACTAAATAATATTATAATTTCTTACAATGAGAAAATGGGAACAATTCAAATAATCAAAATTAAAGAGGGCATAGCACATTAATACAAAAGTTTATTATTGGCCAGGCATGGTGACTCACACCTGTAATCCCAGCATTTTGGGAGGCTGAGGCGGGCAGATCACCTGAGGCTGGGAGTTCAAAAGCAGTTTGACCAACATTGAGAAATCCTGTCTCTATTAAAAATACAAAATTAGCCAGAAGTGGTGGCAAATGCCTGTAATCCCAGCTACTCAGGAGGCTGAGGCAGGAAAACCACCTGAAGCCGGGAGAAGGAGATTGCAGTGCACCAAAATTGCACCACTGCATTCCAGCCTGGGCGACAAGAATGAAACTCTATTAAGAAATTACTAACAACTAATAAAATGAAGTTTTGGGATTACAAACCAGTAGTGTTTCTCTTTGGGTAGAAAGGGAAGGCACAGGGCATAAGAGGGATTTCTGGGATGCTAAGAAAAGTCTATTTTGGATGGTGATTAGATGGCGTACATTTTGTAAAAACTTCAGCTATATATTTTTTATGACTGGTAGGCTTTTTCTATTATACTTCAGAAAAGTCAGTGTAAAAAGATTATAAAGACTAGGTAACAGTGAAATACAAGCATGCTGTGAACATATTTGTGTGACAAGGGACCCCTCAATTCTGGACTACTGAGAGTAAAGGGTTTCAATCAACCACCAAGACACAGGGCTGATCCTAAAACTGGAGTAGAAATTTCTATTGGATTTAGCAGGTTCACACCAATAGATTTTTAAGAATTTTTTTTATTTTACTTTTTTTTGCAGAGATAGGGTCTTGCTACATTGCTCAGGCTGGTTTTGAACCTGTGTACTCATGCAATCTTCCCAAAGTACTGGGGATTACAGGTTTAAACCACCATATTCAGCCTTAATTACTCTTTTTAACCACTCCCTTAGGATAATGAAAACACTAGGTTAAAGGATATGCAATTTTTACTATAGCTTTTGACATGAACTACCATTGCGCTTTCCAAAGCAGCTCTACTAATTTGAATTCAGCCATCGTCATGTGAGTATCTACTTCACCTAATCATGCCAGCATTAAATTTTTTTTTCTATTTTTTTGTTTTTATGTTTCAGCATTAAAAGTTAAAATATTTAATAGGTAATAACAAGAAAAAACAAAATTAAAAATATTTAATAGGTATAAAATGGTTTCTCATTGTAGTTTTACTTTGCATTTTGATTATGCAAAATAATCTATTGGGTTAAGACAGTAATAAATGTAAATCTTTGTCAATCATTTTTTTTTTTGAGATGGAGTTTCACTCTTGTTACCCAGGCTGGAGTGCAATGGCGCCATCTCGGCTCACCACAACCCCCTCCTCCTGGGTTCAGGCAATTCTCCTGCCTCAGCCTCCTGAGTAGCTGGGATTACAGGCACGCACCACCATGCCCAGCTAATTTTTCGTAGTTTTAGTAGAGACGGGGTTTCACCATGTTGACCAGGATGGTCTCAATCTCTTGACCTCGTGATCCACCCGCCTCGGCCTCCCAAAGTGCTGGGATTACAGGCGTGAGCCACCGCGCCCGGCAATCATTTCTTGTTTGAATAATTTTTAACTGAAGTCTTCCTCTCTAACTACAAACTTAAAACCAGAAAAAAAAATAAGTCTCACAAGATCTGACAAAGTTCTGCTCTGTTTTCTGACCACTTTTCTATGATTTATTTTAATAGTTAACTCCAATATATTTGGAGTTTAACTCTGTAACATAGACTGAAATGAAATTTCTTCTAAATTATGATGTACTTATCCCACCCTATTTATAACAATCTCACTTTTGTCCTATTTTGAAATGTTCACATTATCTTTATACACAGTTGAGCTATGTGACACTTTCAAGAAAAGGAGACATCTGAGTTTCAGTAAATTCCCCTGAAAACAGGTATTTAGCTCCTTAAAATTAATATAATTTTATATTTATAATCATATAAAATATTTGTGGGAATTCTTCATGTTAGTAGGTTTGACAATGACCAACTTTTCCTGATAGATCAATCCCAGTTTTTGTTTGTTTTCTTTTAGAGACAGGGTCTTCCTGTGACACAGGCTGGAGTGTAGTGATGCCATCACTTATTGTTTTGGTGAGAACATTTAGGATTTACTGTCTCCGCGATTTTTTCAAGCAAAGATTGAATTTGCTTTTCTTTCTTTTTTTTTTTGAAACGGGATCTTGCCGTCACCCAGTCTGGACTGCAGTGGTGTAATCTCAGCTCACTGCAACCTCTGCCTCCTGGGTTCAAGTGATCCTCACATCACAGCCTCCCATGTAGCTGGGACCACACACATACACTACCATGCTTGGCTTATTTTTTCATTTTTTTATAGAGATAGGGTCTCCCAGGCTGGTCTCCAACTCCTGGACTCAAACAATCCTTCCACCTTGGCCTCCCAAAGTGCTAGGATTATAGGTGTGAACCACTGCACCCAGCCAAAGAATGAAATCTTAATATTAGTAGCTATAACAATGACCCATTCTTTTCTGATAGATCAACCCCAGTTTTTTTGTTTTCTTTTTGAGACAAGGTCTTGTTCTGTTGCACAGGCTAGAGTGCAGTGGTGCCATCACAGCTCCCTGCAGCTTCAACCTCCTGGGCTTAGGCCATCCTTCCACCTCAGCCTCTCAAGTAGCTGGGATGACAAGCATGTACCACCACACCTGGCTAATTTTAAACATTTTTCTTTTGTAGAGAAGGGGGTCTCATTATGTTTAGCAGGCTGGTTTCAAACTCCTGGCCTCAAGCAATCCTCCTGACTCTGCCTCTGAAAGTGCTAGGATTATAGGAGTGAGCCACCATATCTAGCCATATTCCAGGATTTATATTTATTCTTCCATTGTATTTTTAGGCAATAATTTCCATTTCTTACATAAAAGGTAACGTACTATACGTGTATTTCTGCTACTTGCTTTCTTCTAATCATTATATCCCAGTACGTATGGACACACCATCTTCAACCAGTCCCCTATAGAAAGACATTTGGATTGCTTCCAACCTTGCATTTTTACAAAGAATACCACAGTGAATAATCTTGTTTGTATATCATTTTGAATGTGTTCTGCTGCTATATCTGTAGATCAGATTCCCAGAAATGAACTGCTGGAATAAAGGATAACAGAGGTAGTTACAGGTACATTTACCCTTATACAGGGACTGTGCCATTTTGTATGCACACCAGCAATATACCTGTTTCCCAACAACTTCATCATCAATGTGTTTTTATTTCTATAAATATGAGACAGAGGAAAAAAAAAAAGTTAACTCCCTGGAGGTTTAATTTGCACTTTTTTTTTTTTTTTTTTGAGATGGAGTTTCACTCCCGTCACGCAGGCTGGAGTGCAGTGGCACAACCTCGGCTCTCTGAGACCGCCACCTCCCGGATTCAAGAGATTCTCCTTCCTCAGCCTCCCAAGTAGCTGGGATTACAGGCCTGCACCACCACACCCAACTTATTTTTGTATTTTTAGTAGAGACAGGGTTTTGCCATGTTGGCGAAACCCTGTCTCTGTTCTTTAACTCCTGACCTCAGGTGATCCACCGGCCTCAGGCTCCCAAAGTGCTAGGATTAGAGGTGTAAGCCATTGTGTCTGGCTTAATTTGTACTTCTAATTATGACTAAGAC